GCATCGCCCGATGCTCTGCCTGCAGTCATGGTTTGAGTGGAAAATCATGCTGCAGCTGCGGGATGTGTTTTGGAGCAAATCTGGGTTCATGGCAACATCTGTCCATGGTGCATTTTTTCTGGGATCTGGCCCCATGTGCCCCTTCCTAATGCTACAAGCAGAAGATGCTGCACAGGGTAACCCAAATCCTTTATAACCCAAAGGAGATTACAAAAATGGACATGGGACACTCAGGCAAATGCTGATTTTTGGCAAGGGCTATTGCTTGGCCTCCTCTTCCCAAACACAGACCTGGTCTCCAGCATTGGCACGTGAGGGAAACCACTACTGTGGCTGGAGGTGACCCTCAAGCCGGTCCCCCCGTACCAGAGGATGCCGCGCTGTCTCAGCACACAGCGGTGAAGGCAAAATCCCCCAAATCCCCTTCCTGATGTTCCATCAGTCCCTGGATCGCTGGGGACCATCACCGCTGGGGACCATCACCGCTGGGGCTGCGCGTGTCTTCCAGAGGCGTGATTCAGAAAATAGGTGTTACCTTCCCCGAGGGTCCCTGTGCCCCATGGCAAGTGTTCAGCTGCCCCGTGGGGTGTGCGTGCCGCGGTGCCAGCAGCTGCGATGGGAACAGTGCTGCTGACGCCCTTCGGTACCCCAGCACCTCGGGTTCGCGTGTTTGTTTAGGCGTTGGCTAAACTGCTGCCAAGGTATTTCCAGGGAGATGTGTTGCCACAGCAACCGAGGATGGAAATGCCACTTCTGTGGGGTGAGTACCACCAAAAACATCTGTCTGCGCCAAGGCGTTGCAGCGCGGGACGGGCACGGAGCAGAGCCAGCCCTGCTGGGAAGGAGCGAAGAGAGGTCAAGGACAAGTTAAAATTGGAAAGAAAACTGAACATGCTGTTTCGTAGGACCTTGCTTGCTCTCATCTGCCAATTTTTTTCCACGCACACCCCCCCTCCCTTCCCATCACTAGCGGGACAGTGTGAGCATCTCCTCTGGCTTGTGGGGGCAAAGGAGATCCATGGTGGCCAAAATCGCTGAGGAGAGCCACCAACTTTCAGGGGCTCTTCCTGGTGACCTCGGTCACCACAGGCCCCCTTTCACCCGCGGCTGTATTTTAAAACTCCTTACCACCATGTTATTCCTTCCCATCCCCAGATTTGCAGCGTGCTGCACATTTTTGTGCTGAAATTCAGAGTTCCGTCCTGGAAGCTGCCAAGTGTGAGTCTGGACTGTGTAATAAGCTTCATCTATTTTTTTTTTTTTTTTCACCCCCAAGAAGTTTTTGGAAAAGCAATGTCTGAGAGCCTGGAAAGACCTGATAGCTTTTCTGCCTACCACAGCTCTGCTTTCCTGGGTGTGGGTGGGACTTTCAGACCCACCTCTTCATGCCCCAGCAGTTCTTTTGTCCTCCGGGTCCGTGTTCCAGCTCGAAGCAAGGATAAACTGGCATCTTCAAATGTCTCCCTTGAAAATACCATTTTTTGCGTTTTTTTTCTCTTGACAGCCCCAAGCAGAGGTTGAGTTTGTTTAATGTGGATAGAGGGAAGGAGTTGCTTTCGCAGCTGTGGACAGAGCCCTGCGCTAAGCCCGCAGCAGCACTGCCAGCGATGCCCTCGGTGGGTCACCAGCCCTCGACGTCCTTGGCGTCTGACCCACCTGGAGCTGAAGGAGATGCTGGATGAGGCCGTGCCCAGCGCTGGGGACCGGGCAATGCCAGCTGACCCAGGAGAGCATTTGGGCAATCTGGTCCTGGGGCTTTGCAACCCCAGACACCACCACAGAGGCTTTAGGGCCTCATTTGCTGTTGCTGCTTCCATTTTCACCTCCTGTGGGCAGTGGAGCTAGGTGGGCTCATTTTCCTTAGCTCTACCTGGTTTTGTCCTCTGTTGTCCCCACCTTGTCCTGCTCCCACCCCGTTTGGTCCCACGTTTGCATGCTGCTGGGGGTCAAGCCCAGCTCAGTGCTTTCTGTGTCTGGGACAAACGCAGGCTCGGCGCCCGGGACCTGCTGCAGTCGATCTCAAGCTGCTGCCACTCCTCCAGCAGCACCCGCAGTCTTTGCACCTCGTCGCTCCAGGCAGAGCACCCCCGGGGCCTCCCGCCTGCTCTGCTTGAAAGCATCCAAGAGATGTAAGAGTTGTTCGGAGGAAACGACTGTGAGCGTATCGACAGCATCATACAAGCTCTGTGTCTGCAGGAACCCAAGATAAAAACATTCCCAAGGTCACAGCTGCTGTGCAAACATCTGTGCGGCAGGTCGTGGCACACCTCTGGGCCGCACCTTACACAGCACACTTATAAAACCCTATTTCCACTCATTCTCTTTTAATTTTTATTTTTCATTTAAGCAGTACAGTTATATCTTTATTACCACAGCAGATCACTGCAAACAGAAAGCAAGCCCTGACCTCGCATCAGGACAGCCCAGCACCCGAGCTACAGCAGAAAGCGTCACAGCCCCATGAGCTCAGCATCTCCCGGCAGGTGACTACCCTGTCTGGGCAGGTAATTTAACAACTTACCAGCCCAAGCAGAGCCCTTCCCTGCGATAACCACCTGGCAGAGCGGGGGGCTGTTAGCAGCTCACACGGGTTATCACCGGGAGAAGCATCACTGCAAACAGGGCTGGGAGGGATGCAGCCCTGGCAGGCAGGCAGGCACGCCGGCCAGCTGGCATTGCTCACACACCCACGTTGCTGTTGCGGGGCCGGGTAGCTTAGCAATGCCACCCCAAAGCCATTAAATTCCCTGTTATAAAATAATTGAAAGAGTGGGAAAACCGGGGATGGCATGGGTGTGGGAAAGGTGTGAGCGACGGTGACGTGTGAGCCTGTGAGGGTTTAGGCTATGGTTTTTTCCAAACATTTAGTTGTCATGGCCAAGAAGATGACCATGCTGGGTGCTTTGGACAGACCCAGTGCGGCAGGAGGAGACCCCAGCCCCATGGGTGCTCCTGAGCTGGGGTCCCCCGCTCCCCACGTCATCCCGGTCACATCCATGGGGTCCGGCCCTGCTCACCAGCTGCACCGTGGCTCCAAGAGATACCAAAATGGGAGATGCATATTATCTCCCAATGGAAAGTATTTTAGCTAAATCCATGCTATAACCATTTTATTGACTCCAAGTACCAGAGAGAAGGTTAGAAGTGACTCTTTTACAAGTCATTTTGCTGTTAAATTTAGCTGTCCTATTTTCATTATCCCCATGGCTTTGGCAAGGGTGAGCAGCCTTCCCTAAAAGGCCTCGTTTCATACAGTAAGTTATTTGCTTCTCTCCTGACAGATATCTAAGCTTATAAGGTTTGTCTGCTCCGCTCAATAGCAGTATCAGCCTTCAATCTTATATGATTAGCATCAGCATTTCGTATTTGCTTTTGGCTCCCCATCTGACAGCTTTCCACGTTGCTGAGGACTGGGGCGTTGGGATGGCATCACATCACTTGTAATGTGGGATCATCTGATTTTGATTCCCAAGCTTCATGGTACGCCCAAATGATTTGGATAAATGGCTCATCTGGTGGGTTTTTTTTTTCCCGTTTCCCCTATTGCCCAGAAGATAATCGATTTGTTCCATCTGTTTCACAGTTGTCAGGTCTGCAAAGTATTGAGTCAATAGGTCAATGTGATGCTAAGCAATGGGCAATTGAACATGAGAGGTGACAATGTTAAACAAAATGTTCCGGAAAGGAAAGATTTATCCCAGGAGGTTAAATTTTTCTGTGTTTCCAAAACCATTTGCCCCTGCAGAGAGGGACCTTGTCCCAGACTCGGTGGCTGCAGAGAGCCAGTGCCGCCTCCGAGGTCACGGGAGGAGCAGATGAACCGGTGCTCGTGGGATGGAGCCTGTCCTTGCGGGCAGTGCTGAAGCTACTGGGCTCTGGGCTTTTTTGGGGAAACATCTTCTGTTTCCCACATGAAACAATTCTCCTTTGCTCCCCAGCAAAGAGCTCACCCCCATGGGGCTGTGCCCGCGAGGCTGCCCGGTGGGATGCAGTGCAGGTACGGGAACCCTCGTTCGCAGCCTCTGCGCTTTCCCCATCAGCGAGCCAAGATTCCCACCAAAACTTCCCATCGCAACAATGTTGGCCCCCAGATTTCATTCTGGCACGTACAGATCCAGCCCCTTTCTCAGTGATATTCACTTAAAGCGGTGCCTGCACCACCCTGCCGAGCATCCCTCGCTGTGACCCAGGCTCGCCCGCCCGGCCCCGCTCCCAGCTGTGCCTTTCAGGAAATGCTGGAAATGCTGAAAATGCCTCGAAATGTGCCCGGCCCCATGCAAGCGCTGGGAACCAGCCAAGCCCCAGCTGGGCGGCCTCACCGCGGGAGGGGGCCAAGCCAGGCGCCCGGCTGCCCTGTGTGTCGGCTCCGACTTGCTGGGCTGGGGTTTCTGTGCCCCCACCATCCCCTTTCCCAACCCTTTTTCTGGGGGCAGCCTTTGAGGGACAGAGCAGGACGTGGGTTAGGGACATGAACGGGAGACCCACAGTCTGAGGTGGCTGCTGGGGCAGGAAAGACGATACCCCAACCCCAGTTCCTAAAATCCTCTCCCTGGACTCCCACCATCTCTTCTGTCCCGACAGAGGATGCTTCGTGGTCCCTGCTTGCCCCAAGCGCTGCCCGCAGCCCCTCTGCCCCCATGGAAGGTCCCTGCCCGGGTGAGGGTGCATCCCCAAGGGTGGGTGGCTCCATCCCAGTGGCACGTGGGCTCGGCAACGGGGGAGCCCTGCACCCTCCCGCACCCTGCCCCACCCCCGGACCATGTAGGGCACCGGCTGCTCCCAGCCCAGGGCTTATAGGAAGAGGAAACCCTGTTCCTGCGCAGAGGAGGAAACCCGACAGCCCAGATGTGCACAGAGCAACGCCGATAGCGGTTTTATTATTTTTTTCTTTTTTTTTTTTTTTCCCCTCCTCTCTGCAAACAGAGGAGTTGCACAGCCCGACCCACAGCGTGGCGAGCAGCGGGGCCGGTGGGAGGCTGCAGCACAGCCCTGGCGCAGCCATGGGGCAGAAGTGCATGGAGAACGTGTCCTCCTTCCTCTTCGAGTATGACACCCCCAGGATGGTGCTGGTGAGGAACAAGAAGGTGGGACTGACCTTCCGGCTGATCCAGCTCATCGTCCTGGCGTACATCATCGGGTAAGGCTCCCTGGCAGCTGCTTTCCCCCAAATTAATGCTTTGCTACCAGGTTACAAAGTAAGAGAGACAAAGGGACTCATATATCCCCTATATCCCGATGTTGGGGGGTTTATTGCTGTGGATCTCATCCTCCTGGCTGTGGACAACCCCGTGCTGCCCAGGGTCCCGCCCTGGGGCTCTC